ACTTTAAAAAAGAGAAAATAAAAAATCATTCATTATTCTACCATCCAGTGATAACTACTAGTAACATATTGGTTTATTTTCCTTCCATGTTTTTAACCATGTATTGTGAATTTTTACAAAGTATATATGAGATTGAATTAATTATACAATTGCATCTTTCTTTTTCACCCTAGGAGACAGATGAAGAACAGAGCTAACGGCAGGTCAGGGAGTAGCATCCTCTATCTATTTTGCTGTTCTACTTCCTATTTTTACCCTACATAAGCAATGCTGTGAAGAACACCTTCACGCAGCGGCTCAGCCCGGCGGGAGAGGGAGAGCGGTGAGGCCGGCGCCTACCGGGGGAGGGCCGCCATGCGGGGTCGGGCCGCCAGGCTCCCGTCGACGCTTTCCAGTTCCTTTGGGGTGCTTGTCCTCATCGCCGCTCTCTGCAGGGAAGAAACACAAGCTGTAGGAGGACTGCAGCCCGGACAACCTGGACTCCGTTCACTGCCGGAAGGGTCTCTGCTTTGGGGATCGGGAGGTAGGAGACCTGCCACTAACTTTCTGCGTGAGCTTGGACAAATCGCTTAATAGCTCTGTTGGTTCCATGCCTACTTAGTATTTCTGTAGCTGCCCTGCCACTCATAAGGCTTTCGGGAAGGTGAGACAAGGTCCCGTGAGGTGTCATGTTCCTGAGGTGCTTTCATCCACCAAGCGCAGGGCTGTGTCACCCGTTTCCCCGTGTCACGCGACTCTGCTGTTTGCGTGTCTTCCGTCACCTCGAGTGCCTTCCCATGTGTCCTCTTCTCCTGGAGGTTAAGCTGAGGTCACTCCTCCTGTAGAAAGCCTTTCCACTGCCCAGTTCCCATTGATCTTGCCTTTCCCTTCTTGAATTTTTTTTTCCCTTTGTTAGTCAGTCCCATCGGGACTGACAAAAATTGCCAATGCCGACTATATTGCAAGTCGTCATGGCGGGGTATTGGGAAAAGTTTTCAATTAGCAACAATCACACCTTGGATAAACCTCATTGACTTGGACACTGCCATT